ATCTTCCTGTTTAGGACAGCTTTGACATCCACATTAGTGTCGGGTACAAGGTGGCTTAGCTATGTCTGCGTAAAGAGGAGCAGGCTGCTTTCCCTATAAATCCGCTGGTTGTTCAGTGCGGTCAGCTTGTCAATCTTGTTAGCCAGCCGCTAGCCAGCCGCTTAGCACCGGCCTTGAAGCCCCTGTACTTCTTCCTCAGTACCTCTGGAATGGAGTGTTGTATACCGGCATGTCCCATTGTTCCCAGCGCAACCAGTTCCTCTCTCAAATACGTAGGAAAACCAGCTCCGTGATTCGAGTTCAATAAAAAGATTAAATTGTCCCACGGTTGGAAAAAAATAGAAAAAATTTAAAGGTACAAAAAAGCTGAAAAAAGAGCAGATTTTTTATAAAAAAAAGTTTTAAAAAAGAGCGAACAAAGATTAGAAACTAGAGAGCTACTAGAGAGGCTGCCGTCTCCTACAGCGCCGAGGATCTTCTTTTGCATCAAGCTAGCTTAAACAGATCCCAATCATACCATGAAGTAACCACTTGCCAATAAGTTTTTATTAAATGTATTTTGATGTGGTTATCTTACCATCTGGCCTCAAATATTCCCTACAAGTGATCCTACTTTAAACTTTTCTTTTGCACTGGATGTGGATAAGATCCAGCTTCCCAGCCTTTTTTTCTCCGTGTCATCTCATCTCGACTCATCTCTGTTCTGGACTCTATGAAATAGTGTCCTCACTGTTGCCCAAAATCCAATTGACTGTAAAGCCATTGAGTAACAACTGAACAAAAGATCATTGTGCAATGCACTTTTTCCATTCCCTTCTTTTATTTGCCCTCTCACAGTTTGAACTGTTGAGTAAAGTTATTCATATTATGCTTATGATTCTTTTGGAAAATTATATGATGATGTAAAAAAGCTATTTGGGAATTTGACAAAAGTTTTAATTAAAATAGACAAAACTATTTAAAAGTTGTATTGAGTAAACTGAATTTTTATTGTGTTTGCTCTGATATAGATAGAAACATTCTCATCAAGTGTGTGTGATCCTTTTCTGCCTCTCCATCAACATTTTAACTTGAGAGCCAAACAGTAGAAGCACCCTCTATAAGACCTTTGTTAATGCCATGTATGTTGGGAGTGAACTACTGATCTACATCTTTGTATAGTTAACTTACCAGCAAAGGAAATGGTTATCTGAGTTAAAACCAGGTGAAGTAAAAATGGATCAAAAAGTTGTAAACATACCTGACCTGGGACTAATTCATAAGGGATTTTTAATACTTCTCCCCTCCCATTCTATCTCTTAACAGGTAGATAATGCAACACTGCACCCAACAAGGACACTTAAGCACACATGCAAAATCACAGAAGGCTACAAATGGCTTACTATTACAGCGGTGAGTCACACAATCTAGAGGCACATTAGTGTAGCAGATTTTCACATTTGCCTTTGTAGGCATCCCACACTACCAGCTCTGCGCTAGGAATACAAACCACCTACGTGTGTTTAACACTAACAGTTGTAACAGTGTTGTCATATTCCACAGTTCCATCTCGCATGATATCCACAACAATTCATCACTAGCACACTCATCTTTATCAAAGCTGCTGGCCTTTCCATGGATGTGCTGTGGTCCTAAATTCATCTTTTGTTTAGTAAAGTATTCATACAACCCAATAATTAACTAATTAATTGACATTTGACTCCAATCTGGTTGATGCATGATATTATCAAAAAACAGTTAGCCTTTTTAGGAAGAACGTGTACTAGTGTGTTGGCACTTTTTGGCTTTCTGTGAAATTGCTCTCAACTACTGATTAGATGTATAGTAACCATAGTATTAGAATTTACAGTGATTTCAACAAGTGAGGCATGGGTACAGGTACAGCATTTCCCTCCCTAAACATGCATATGTTGAAAAAATATGTTTATTCTGTTTATTCAGTACTGATCCATCTCTGACAACATTAATGTGTCTCTACTTTACCATCCTAATCTAGCAGCAGTTTAGATAGGAAAACACATGCTACATACAGGCGTCATCATCCCTCGTCATCATCCCTCTTGCTAATTGCAGCTGCAGCTCAACTCCTTAGCTGGCTTGTTGAGGTGCAGTTCTAATATTATCTACCTGGTGGGAGATTAGCTCTAATCAGGCATCTGATCAATCTGCTCTGACCTGCTACCCGTCGTTCCACGTGCCACAATACAGACAGATAATAATATATAAAGAGGAAATCTTGGATATATTTTAACATAGAACTAATGAGTGCGTTGTGTGAACACTTCCAAGTCAATAGCACGTAAAGATAAGACAAACTCACACATGCGTTAAAGCATATGTTAGTTACATGGTTGTCTCTGAGATCATCTGTTGCTCAGAGCTGTTTGATCTCAGCCCAAGGTGCGCTGTCAGGGAGCTGCTCCTGTGCAAGCCCATTCAGTGGGAACCACTTTTCACCAAATGAGGACATGCAATCCTTTGTGGCTTGGAAGAGATTCTTGGCACTGCTCCCATCTTCCCCATTTGCCAAGACACCCTCATAAAGACGTAATTATCTCTGCTGGTTCTCCCCTTACACTCTTGTTGTTGGTCATCCTATGTATCTGTTCACAAAAGATCTTTTTAGCCATATAAAAAACTGTGTCTGATGGTTTTGGTCTGTTCTCACCCTTGACACTGTCCTCATCGCTATTTGAAGGGATGCCATGTATTCCATGGAATTAATTAATACCAAGACTGATTAAAGAATTTACTCAGGATTTACAAGATAAACTCTGTTTTGCCTATGTCTTGACTATATTAAAGAGAAATGCATATGATGTCACATTACAAACTGTAGAGGAGTTTATAAGGATCTCCTCATTAGTAACAGTTAAAGAATAAATTACTGGAAGTTATTTATCAATAAGTTTAAACAGAATTTCAAGTCAAGTTGATTTTAAATTGGTAATGGGAATAAACACCTTCATGGTTGCACACACTGTGATGCAAAGTGGCATGTTGGGAAGCTTAATAGTGAGCCAGAGTAATAAACCAGCTGTAAGCAGCATATCGATGCTGCAGCATCCTGTGTGGGCATCCTGTGGTGAAACAGAATGACGGCAGGCCCAAGTCTGGCCCCACTGTTCTGTCACACGCACCTTGAGGGAAGAGGTCAAATCACTTCTGCAGGCTTTCAAGAGGGAAATAAGATGCAAAAGAAGCTGAAGTATGAATTATTTTTTAGCTCTTGCAGGTTTTACTCCCCTTGTCCCAAGAACTTGACTTAAGGGCCGTTGCTAAATTGGACTGGCATGTGGCTGTGGGAGAAGAGTACTGGTTAATGACACATAAAAAAGTTAAAGACTGTAAAACAGGAAGCGAGCCTAGATAGGGCCCCATTCATCAATGAGACTTGCTTTTGGCTCTCAGAGACTTCATCAAGACAGGATGCCAGTTTTTTTGTTTTTTTGTGGAAAAAGAGTAGGGTAAGTCCTGGACTTGGTTTGCCTATTTGGGTTGTAAACGTATGACTGGGGTGTGTGTATACATACAACGTTGTAGTTTTTACCCTGAGGAGAGAAAAAAGTAATGATTTATATGATTTTGAGATATCTGTGACAGAAATTAGATCTTTAAAGGTTGAAATGAAGCGTAAGGGTTGGGTACGTACTTGTTTTCATCTAGAATGTCATACTATGTTTAGCTGATGCTTGCATCATAGTCTTTGATAGGTTTTTTTTAGGGATAAGTGGAAAAGGTTATCCAACTTTTATCATATGATATCTGTCTGTGTTTGCTGTGTGACCTTATACTTTGTCTTTTAACTGCTGCTCCTTCATGTTTAAAATGCGGGCTGTTCTCTCTTTTCTGAACTCCTCACATTTATTATTCTGATCCTGAATCGGCAGACTACAGGCCTAACACTTATGTGAGAACCATTTTATGATCATATATCCCCTGTTTAAATAAAAAAGAAGCAAAACTTCTTTCAAATCTAAGTTTTTCTTTTCAGCTCATAATGAGGTGGGGCTGAGGGAGTGTGTGTGGGGGGGTAACTTTATACAAGGTCTCTATATTAGGTGAACGCAGTTTCAGATAGGCAAAGAGGCATGTTGTGTCATGAACTAAGTATTTAGGTGTGTATTAATACAGCATTCACTATTATATAATTCTGTCATTTACATACGAGGTATGGAGCCCTACAAGTTGATCATTGTTCTACTTTCACAGTGTAGGACGGATAATGTTTTATTTTCAGACTCTGTCCTGACTATAGACTAAAACTTTTTTAGATTTCAAAGGTTTGTGCCCGTTTAAAATGACATCTGACTGAATATTGATTGGTGGAGTAGATTAATTTAAGTCAGGAGACAGCAGCTGTTTAAAGTGTTGGGCTAACTTGTGTTTGTTTGATGGAGAGTAGTACAGATTTGGGTTGGGGCCAAATCTGGACTGTTAGACAGAGACAACGTTTCCGTGTGATGTTGGAGGAGGTCCAATCGATCACAAGAACCTCTGACAAATTAGTAAAGAGGCCCTACTCTTTGCATGGTGACCCACATCAATCTTAGCTTGGATAGTCCAACGGTGCGGCAATAAGGAAGGAAAAACCCATCCATATTGACTGTAACTCATAAAATGATGAACTATCAACTGGCTATTACTCTGTGTTCACATCTGTGCCTTGATATGATGAGATATGTGATACTTCACCCAATGCTATAAAGTTTGTCCTCTTTAGCTGCCAACCTATTGAAAAGGTCTTGTGTTTTTCTTTTCTTTTTTCTTTTTGCAAAATATCAGGTTTGTAAAAAAAACAAATATCCTGTGTAAATTTCACAAGTGGTAAATTTGGGATCCCAGTTCCCGGGGGGTGAACGATGATGGCTGATGGTTACCTCCCAGTACAAAGCTAAGTGCTTTACAGGTTAAATGTGAGCACTTGTGTGCATTTCCATTGGATGCTGATAGTTTCTGTTCCTGTGAGAATGCTGAGGCTTCTCTGCTCTTCTACACAGCTCAAGATCTCCTTCAATGAGTCTAACCTGCAGAGAACATTCGAGTATCCGTCGGAGAGCAGTGTGTGGTACAGTGGCGAGGAGGGCGAGGAGGATGAGAAGGAGAAACAGGATGGGAAGCTGGCAGATGAGCAACCAAGCATGGTGGGGCGCATCCACATCCCCCGACCCAGTTTTACTGTCTCACCCTCCCTTATTGACGACGGCAACAGTAAGATATTAAATAAAGGTTGTTTCTATTTCTCCTGCAACATGTCAGTTCAGTTTCTCCTTCTCGTGACTAAATAGGCAGCTTTGACAGTTTTTAGCTCATTTTACCTTTGTATTGTGCTGAACATACAGAGAAATGTTGAATATGAACGTAGGTGAAAAACGACTTTGCTACCGGTTTTAAAATTGGCTTCCGGTAAAATTCAAATTTTTTATAAATTGCTGCCAAGAAGCCAGTCGACCTTGCAGTCTTCTTAAGTGTTATAAAGCAAACGCTCCCCAAGCTTTCTGAAAGCTTTTCTTATTTCATTCTAGTCTGTGTCTTGCAGTCTTGCAGTCTTATGACCATTAGTAAGACTTCTGACGGTACCAGACCAGTTTTAAATGTTAATTTATTCATTGTGGTATAAACAACATGTTTGAAAGAATTTTTTTTTGTTATTTCAGAATTGATTGAAATAAAAGTAACTTGCGTAAGTAACAGCTTAATATGTAGTGTCCTTAAAGAAAATTGAAGAAACCAGACGATAGAAGGACATAAGATCAGGGCATTTAAAAAATGTAAAATTGCCTTTAAGAAAAAATCTACTGAGAACTACAACGTCCACATAAGATAACAAAAACTGCCAGACAAAATAAGAGTTGCAGCTAAAGCTGAGAAGTTGATAGAGGAAAAAAAAGAAAATGATAGACAAGGAAGAGGTAATTTAAAGAATTTTCCAAATGTACTCTGAATAGACTGCTAACACCAATGTATGTTGAGCAAATGCACAGTATTTTAGTTGTTAAGACAGTGCCACTTGCTGGCCAAACTGTGAATTAAATTTGCTATATTTCTCATTGGAAATCCTTTGTATATGTTATTTTCCTGTATTAGATACTAAAAGGTGTTTGACTGATCACTTGTGTGCAGACCTTTCCAGCTACATTCCGAAACACTCCATGGACTTCAGTACCTGGCAGGAACAAAAGCATGATGACAGCGTTTATCAGGAAGAACCCCCCCCCCCCAGACACAGATTAAAGAGGGGGTGATGGGGAGAGAAAACACACTTCTCTAAATGAGTGACAGGCTGCCTTGGATGCAAAAAAACCAAAAAGTTAATCAAACTAAAAAAAGGGCTGAAATTTACACACCCATTCCAATAATATTATTACAGAGGGACTGATTACTGATAGTATCCGTTGGTGTGCAGCCATCTGTTCAACCCACTTACTTTGGTTTCTGACTGGTACATTACCATCATGTGTAGCGAAACATGACTTTACAAGTCCACTGTTGGCAGATCTGGGGGTCATTGAGTGAGAAGTGTAATGAAAATAGATGGTCTGAATACTGAAAGTTTTGTTTCCTCAGCTCACTCCGGCCGACAGCTCCTCCTTGTCAGACTACAGCAGTGAGCCCGCTCTCTACTTCTGACCTCTTCGACTGAGCGACTGTACAGCAGCATCATGCCCATGGAACAGACTCTCGGGAGGGCAGGTGGGGACTCGGGTTGAAGAGGCTTCACTGCTTTGACCTCTGCACACCCTCTAAATATAAGTGCAATGCTATGGTCAGACAGCAAACTTGTGCTACTTTCTGTGTATTTGGGCTGATATCCTGCCAGTTTAAGGAGCACACCTGAGCGTAGAGAGGCTATTTGCCTGGTGGCTGGTCTTTAACTCTATCTTACTCTTAAAAAAAAAACCCGAAAAAAACAAACAGCTGGACTGTTTTTCCCATCCCATTCCAGACAGTTGATCTGTTGCATCATTGCACCTCACCTTCAAGGTGTCTGACAAAAGCTTACTCTTTTCTCTATAGAGGAAACTCCAATCTTTTGGAAGACAATGACCAGCTGAGAAGGATTTCTCCGTTGCCTCTAGAGTTCAGTGTTAGCATCAAATATTCCAGGGACACATTGCTTACATAAAGTATATCGTTCTCAAATTTAGGGGGAAAAAGGCGAAAGGGTGCCACAATAAGTTTGTTCTTTTTGGTTTTTGTACATGCATGTTTTTTATTTCAGCCAACAGCTTCGTCATTGGGGCTTTTTTGACTGTGGAATTTCTCTACACTTTTTTTCCCGTATGTTTATTTGTTTTCTGCCGTGTTTTGCTGTATCAGAGCTGATGGACATTTTGTGTGTTCTTTGTGACAAAGGAGGAAACAAACACATCCTGAGAAGGACGTATCTGTCAAACAGTAGCAGTTCAAGTTCCTTACTCAAAGCCTGGGGGTGGGGGAATGACCTTCGCCAATAATGTCTGTATGTCCATATCGTCTGTGACGAAACTAAATCATCACATTAGAATATCTTGGTATATCCTCTCATCACGTATACCAAAAACTGTTTGACCTCATGACAGCTTTTCCAGTTTCAAGAGCATCTATTCCTGTGTAGAATTGCATGTCTGAAACCTACACATGACTACGAAAGAAAAAAAGAAAGGTTTTTTGTTTTGTTTTGTTTGCTGATGTCGAAGGTGCCAGAGGGCAAGTCGAGCGTCCTGGCTGCATGTTTCTAAGCTTCTTCAATCAGACCTCATATACTTTGACATTCCAAACAGAGAACAGTCGGTCCATTGAAGGTATTTGTGATTATGACCCTTTATAAAACTGCATGTTTCTGCAAACTAATGCAAGACTGTGTGTTTGTATGATTTGATCATTTCCTTTTTTGTTAAATTCTTTACACACATATGTAAATATATGCAAGAATGCACCAACCTTTCAGATGAATTTTTGTTTGAATTACTTTTTTTTTTTTACAATTTATTTTTTATTACTCATAATGCCAAGTGATTACAGTGTTGCCGTGGTGGCCTCACATTCTTCTGTTCAGGATTAACACTTTGGCCAGTATTGCTGTACAGTTTCCTCTATATGTTCACCTACACAAAGATCTGTTTCTCCTGCATTTCTTTTTTTTTCTCTAAATCTCTCAAATCAGATCAAATTCATTTTATCCTGAAAACTGGATTAATTGTTGTCTGAATAATTTAGTAATTATGTATATGGTTAGGAGTCTTGGATGTTAAATGTCTTTGCACTGTCATGCTTTTTTGCAACATTTTGCACCATTTTCCACAAAGAGGAGGTGAAAGAGCAAATGTGCACTTAAAAGAACAGAATGGAAGTTTTGTTTTCGAAGCTACAGCCTCTACACCCTGTTCTACAACCACTGCATTTTTCTTTTAAAACGATATGATTAAAGGAAACTTTCTATATAAATCTCAATTGTACCTGATGAACGCACTGCTGATGAATGCCATGCAGTTTTGTTTATTTGATTTGATTTATCCTACTTTTGCCACAGGTTCACGTATGACATTTCATGATTGTTGGCCTTGTCACTGTGACCACAAACAGCAGCCCAAGTGTAGTTTCCCCTCACCACAAAAGTCCAGACTTCATTTTATGCTCAAAATAACCTTTTTTTTTAAGATAAATAAATAAAAGGTATTTTAAAATCTTTCATTTGTTAAACTGTCCCAGAACTACAACTCACAATTGCTGAGCACTACAGATGACTATTTGCAGTGGCTCATTGGAATTTTGACTGTATGTTTTTTATAGCCACTGCAAACTCTGCTTTATCATGTTATGCCATATATCCAGAACTTAATGGGACCCAAAGCCAAATATTCATTGGACTTTGATCATTGTAACTTTTTTAGAGCAGTTTTTAAAAATGTTTTTGTTAAGTTAAAATTTGAGAAGCATGCGGTTGGTACTTGCATCAAAATGTCTTTACTGGATAAAGGTTGATTAAACACTGTATTAAACAGAATATGCCTCTCAACTTACTTATCAGTCTAAATCAGGTTAATATGGACTACTTCACTCTATGATGGCAGAGAAAATGCAAGCTCACTGCTCATTAAAAAGTTAGACATAGCTGACTGTTTAATTTCAGGATGAAAATCATAGACGTTATGAATGAAAACAGTCGTGGCCGCATTCCTTCCTGTGCCTCAGTAAACCTGGACAAATAACTAGCATGAATATAAAAAGTAAGAGTATAAATGAAATGTATCCATGCTAACAATCTGAAAAATGTCCTGTTTTAACACGGCCAAAAATAAACAAACTGAATATTAGCGGCCATTTGAACCAGCACAAGTTGCCCAAATGTAGGACATGTTCCTGCAAATCGTAAGGAACCATTTAAAGATTGTCATTTGTAGTTTTGGGGCAGGTTGTGATGGATTGTCTGAACCTAAAGAGCTGGACCTTCCGTGGTTCAGTCACATGACCCCTTGTAGGTCCATTTAGCGAGCCTTTGTCGACATAAACCCCCCAGAGAGGTCGTTGTCTCTTTTCTCTGTAAAGGTCTGGACCAAACTAACAGATGTTTTTTTTTTCTCTTTGGGAGGGAAACTCCAACTGTCCAAATTGCACCAGTACGAACTTTCTTCTTTGTGAGTGTACAAGCCACCCCAACCAAATCTTCACCTGAATCAAAGCAGTTAGTGGTTGTCACTTTGTTGCCTCTGTGGTAAAACCATCGCTCCCCCATATAAACCTACATCGCAGTAGCTGTGCTTACTGTAAACATATTGTCAATGATTTGGGCAGGATCAAGCAAACAAAAACAAAAAGATGTCATACTTGTACAAATGAAAGCTCAATAAATAGAAGACTTGGAAAAAGTGCATTCACTTCTGTAATTATGTATTTGGTCAGAGAGCTGGGAGGGGGGGGTTAAAGATGAAAGATGAAAGCATTTATTTATTAAAGAACTGTGAAGATAACATAACAATATTACAAAAAGTCCAAAAATGGTAACCAATTGCTTTAAAAGTGCAAGATCAGCAATCGGTGAGGTCAGGCAAAGAGTTCAGTGCTCCTTTCTCCGAGGCTCTGTAGCTTTACTGAGGTTCCCTGCCTCCTGCTTTAGGACGCTTAGAAGAGACTGCGAGCTCTCCAAGATCTATAGAAGGGAAACAAACAGGCAAATCATGAAAAGTGAGCATCAGGGGCAGACTGTGACAGAAGGGGTCGAGCATCACCAGCATTCTTGTTTTCCCAAACAGGAGGATCTGTTTGCAGTGATTAGTGTTAGCACACAGGGAGTTCAGCAACACAGCATCAGCAAGTGTGATGGGCCATGCTAGGATCTCAGCCATAGGATGGATTACATCATAACTCAACAGGACCTAAGGGAAGCACTATGAGAGTGAGGCAAAGAAACAGAAGGAGAACAATGGGAGGGATGGAAAATACTGCTTCTCCAATGAAAGCCTGGAGGAACTAGCCTTTAACACAATGATTTTATTGTATTTGTGTGTATAAAATGAGGCTGTATCTCCAACAAAAAGTGAGATGAAAGTACAGTTAAGAAGGCTTGGTTCCTGTGAGTCACTGGGGTTGTTAACCTGCAAGTTGCTGCAGCTTTTCAGTGAAAAACCATATTAGAACTAAAGAACAATAATGGAATCTAACAGATAAGATAGCAGTTACTAAGGAAACAATTTAAGCAATTGACAACCAGAATGAAAAAAAGACCCAATGAGAAGCCTTTTTAAATCATGTTTTTCTAAAGTCCCACAACTGAGAAGACAGAGGGAATATACCTTGCTGTAAGCAGCCTCCGTTTCTGCAATTGTGCGGTCGAAGGTGGCACGGGCAGCCAGTCTTTGTGCCAAGCTCTCATTGACTCTGCTCAGCTTCTCCGAGAGCAAGCGGATGTCATGCTGCAGCCGTTCCTTCTCCTCCTCCTCCTGCTTGATCTGACGGTTCAGCTCATCCCGCTTTGAGCACAGATCCTCGATACCTGACAGAGACCACACGTGCTTATTCCAACAAAAGTTACTCTGGATCTTCCACCCATATGCTACCTGGCTGGTGTCATAAAGGTGCATTCTGCCCTCTCTGACATAACATGGGGTGTAAATTACTTAACTGGCTTGATATTAATCATTTCAAACATATCAGACCTATCAGAAGGCAGAATGGGGTCAGGTAACCTGCCACTGAGGCTGCAAGAGCAGGATTAAACAGCACGTGACTGGTGACAACCACTAAAGCTATTATTCATTCTATAGCTGGTTTGATCAAGTAACAAGTGGTCAGATGATTTCCAGGTGATCGACTAATCTGTGCAGGTTACGCTGATTGTACGGAACCATCCAGCTAAAGAATCACCAACACCATTTTAAAATATAGCAGGGAAAATTAAAAATAAATGTAGGTTTCATTTAAAGGAAGTGAGCATTAATAGTTTATTTTATTTTCACAGAACTATGTCTATTTCCTGTTCAGACGGTAAGGCATTCTCACTCTAAACTGACTGGTCAGTTATGTAATCTTTGATACAGTATGATCGATGAAAAATTTAAAGTAAAATTGTCAAATGAATAGTCAATTAAAGTCACTCACACTTGACAAGTTCGTTGTTGTAGGTCTGTAAAGCTGCAGCTTGCTGCGTCATGTTGGCTTTTAGCTAAGGTAACGTCCGGCCTGTTAGTTTTCTACTTTATGCTAACTGAGTTAAAAGGCGGGCTAGTTAGCTTCCCATCGGTCTCTGTTAATAAAGCAGACAGGAGAAGGAGCTCTAAACTCGACCGCCTCCTCAACCTCTTTCAACAGTAACAATCATACATGCCGTGTTTCCCTGACAACTCAACCGGATGTGCGGAATGCTTCTTCGTCTACTAATTCCTTGCGCTTGCAATCTAATATGCAGTACGGGCGCCCTCTTCTGAGAGTCTCAGAAATAAGGAACACGCCAACTTTCATTAAAATGAATTGCGGAATAATTTCATAGCCATTTACATGTTTAGTAATAAATTAAAACGCTGTAGATAATACAGTGGCTATTCCCAAGAAAATGCCACACGTTTGTTTCCTATCTATTGCATTTGTTTTTCTAGCAAGATTCTCCTGAACATTGGTTGCAGCAGCACTGTCATGAAAATTATTGCACCTTTTATTCACAACAGATGACTTGCAGATAATGATAAAAAATCAAATGCACCCATATATGTAAGATGTCTTGTTACAAATTACAGTCTCAAAATGCCTTTTGCCGTTGTTTTGCTGGTTTTGATCAGACTTTTACATTTATTGCACCTTTTTTTACCAGATAATTGTTGACTGTAGAGCACATTATCTGTTTAATTTCCTCCCCTCTGTGGTGCAGTTTAAAAGTGCAGCAATGTACAGTGAAGATTGATCGTGGTCAACATGATCATCATAAAAACTGCTTAAACCAAGATGCTACAATTTTTTTTCTTTTTCGTGTGATGTGTGCCGGTGGGGGTTGTTTTAAGTACTTGGTTTCAGTTTATTGCCAATATCATATGTGTGTTTTCTTTGTCATTACCCTTTTCACTTAATGTGTTGTTTGGCTTCTTATTTTTCTTGACTTGTAACTTTGCTTAAAAATGTAATAATGTTTTATTATAATTTTGTCAGCATCATGCCTTAAGATGTGCACACAAAGACAGAAGGCAAGATTTTTTTTTTACGCAGGTATCATTCAAAAATACTTTGTGGTAAACTGCAATAACTCAAACAAGTGTACATGAGCAGCCATTGTCTCTACTGTTATTTCCTAGTAGGGTCAATGGACGTGCTGGAGCCTGGAGCCTCTGACGGGTGGAGTACACTCTCAACAGGTTGCTAGCCAGGCAAACAACCACACAAACTCAAATTTATTCCTGGGAAAAATTTAGAATAACAATTAGTTAATCAAACATGCATATTTGTTACACTGTGGATAGGGTAGCACCAGGAAAGTAGAAGTCCATGTGGACATGGGGAGAACATGCAAATCTTAAATTCCACGCAGCAAGACCTCTGGTCCCTGGGGTTTCAAATTATGAAATTATTTATTTTAACCATATCCAGTTCAGCATTATGGCAGCATAATTAAAATCTGAGTACCATGCTATGCTGAACAAATTTGTTTTGCTGGTGAAAGCTTTACGACCGAAAAGCCCCATTTGATTATCCAATGCTGCTTTTTAAAAATGCCCATGCCCCTGTTGCACCCCCTGCCCCCCTACCCTCACGCCTCTGGCTCTATAAATTGAATAAGAAATTTGGAACCCTTTTATCGCGAGGGAAAAGTGCTAACCACCACAACAATGTGCCATTCTCCACCTCAACACATAATTTAAACATGAGGAAAACTTTTTGTTATTCTGAACAACAACAAAAAAGATTACTTTGTTGCATGCTGATACCTCTTTATTTTTCTAAGTTTATAATGATTTGTGAATTGAGTTGATTAAGTGAAAATGGTCCATACATTATTAAGTGAGATGTCTGATTTCTGAATAAATCTAAAACAGGTCTAAAAGTTGAAAGTGTTTGAAATTACATTTACAGTTTCATGATATCTGTCCCCAACTTAGGCAGTGGTAGTACCTCAATTGTAAAATATACAAGACATAAAAGTAGGGGCTTCTGCTTTTGAGGACTGTTTGATTAGATCTTATAAGGATTTACAAATAAATGGAAAATCCTTGAACTGTCAACTTTTTATGGGTTGCATGAGCCATTATTGTAGTTCACTTTCATAAAACTTTTCAGAATAAAAATGGTTGAACTCCAACACCAGTAAAACACAATCAATTATGAAGTGTTTCTTAATATTTTAAGTCTAATAAATGAAAAAAGGAAAAGCAGCTACGCGTAAGTTTAACAAGTTACCTCCGCGTTTGGCTAAGATTCTTTAATGTCCTGTGTGTGAAATCTAATGGTAGCACACATACTGTGATAATTATTTTTTTCATCATTATTTATTGCATTGACTAACTCTAAGGTGTGGTGACACTGATCGCAAATCAATAAATGTGACGTAATTCTAAGTGGGCGGAGTTAATGTCCAGGCACCATGGCTTCGGTAGGAACCGAGGTGAGTATTTGAGCTTTATCTACGCCGACCGTGGTTTGCGCTCACTCTCGTTTTTAAGTGTTTGAAAATTTGCTTCATCACGGCAGACAATTAACCCCTGATAGATAGCCGAATTGTCGCTGTCGAGGTACCGTTTTGTCGTAAATTGCCCATTGCCAGCCTGGAGTCTTGTGCTTTTGTGCTGGACCGGAGGGCAACTGAATGTGCAGGAAGATGCTGCGCCCCGGAACGTGCATGATTGAGGCTGCCGCACTGTTAGTTGTTTGGTCGTACGTGGTCATTCATGGTCCAGTCTCATGTCACTGGCTGTGTATGCCTTTAATGGTTCAAAATAAACCTAAAATGTTCCTACGTGCATTTCGCCCCGGCATAATTAATGTTTTTGCTGCTGTCGTTTGTTATTGGTATTGTGGTGGCTAGATGTAAACGTTGGTTCAGCTAGCTAGCTAGCAGTAATGCTAGTTAGCAGCATGCACACTCTCTTAAATTCACCCACAGACTAATCTCTCTGAGGTTTTCTTGCTTTAAAAACTCTCAGATAGTCTTAGATATATATTGATAAATATGCCTAAATCTTCCGGTTGTTATGTTATCTTCACGTTGCTCTGTAGTCTGTTCCCTAGACGTAACTGATGCAAGCAAATGATGGCAACAGTGTTGATACAGCACTTCATTCCATACAGCACAACCGGTTTCGGCGCGATCTGCGAAATCGGGAGGGCTCTTAAATAATTCACTTTTGAAAGCTTGTATTTTGATTAATACTAATTAACTGATTTAGCCCCGTCTTCGTGAGCTCTACCAGTTTTTTAAGCCGGTATGCCAGTCTCGCTTACCAGTTTCACGTTATAGCTTTTATTTATTTTTTTAATTCTTTATATGATTGCCAAGAGGTATGTGTCATCAAATAGCGGGCTAGTGACATTTCCGTTTCTACAACCGCACATACATGCGGGAAAGTCTCTGTCTTTGTTGGATTTGATTCAGTAAATTCAGGAGGTACTATGCTTTCACATTCGATAGAGGTCGCTCAAACAACACACTGACGATAATTGCTTACTAGCTCAGTTTTTGGAGGCGTTTGCAAAGAAAGCTGTTGGTCACCGAGCCCCGCAGCCACTTCCGCGTTCACTACACCCATTACAGGTCAAATATGAATAAGCTGATTATTACAATTATTATAATAGGCGGATTCACGCTCACTTAACTGAGTATTCATGTTGGAAGAATATATATATATAATTTGCTTACTAAATGAAAAATAGTAATGGCTATTGCATAACAACAAAATATGACAATAAAAGTGCTGGTGTTGAGAATAAAGAATATTCAGACACTACCCTGATATAAATAAGATATAATGTTTTCCTTATTTCTTGTTGAAGTTGCTTTGAAGAGCATATCTGTGTTTAGTAATATAGTTATATACATTTTTTATGTGTATTACTTTGTCAGTTAAAAAAAGCAATACACATCATTAGGGATGGGACGGTTTCTGAAAACCGTCTGAACCGTTCGGTTCGACTGTCTCGGTTCGGTTCGCGTGTGTTGTGTTCGGTTCATGCTGCTCCTTTTTCTCAGAGGGAAGCGTTTACACTCCAGACCAGAAGGGGGCGCTACTGCGCCCAAAGTATGGGACCACTTTGGATTTAGAGGGAAGCACGTGTTGGAATTAGCACTGTTTCCTCTCTTGCAATGCCAGAATCTCACCTACTTTTAACCTAAGACTGTCACAATAATCTATCAAATGTCAGACTGTTTTTTTCTTTCAGTTTTAACCTGACTATACGAGACATAATAGATTTTCCTAACAATCAACATATACCGAACCGAACTGAAAACCGTGACCATGAAACCGTGAATCGAACCGAAAACCGTGACCACGAAACCGTGAATCGAACCGAACCGTGGATTTTGTGAACCGTCCCACCCCTACACATCATCAACAAAGCCAAAGACAAACTTTACTAATCACATTGTTTTCCTCTGAGTGCTGTGCAGATCTTGTTAACATGGCCACTCTTTTTTTATGATAACATCACGGTGAGTTTGATCTTGGGACAGTCCTACTCTAAAATGATCAGAGAGTGTGTCACCCTTTGGGCACCATGTAACAGCTGTAGTTTTTTCGAATGATGTTCATGTTGATGTATAATAATTCAGACGCCTCTTGTTTGGCTTAACCTTACATTGTTAGTGTGTTTTTTCATTATGTGCTTGAATGTACGGCATAGGCCTGTTTTATTTGGAGTGTGCGTTCAAACGGTAGACAACAGGACAATGGTCTCAGTGGAATAGCTTTCTACAATCAAATGACTGTATATTCTTGAATGCAAATTGCGATTATTAGTGTTTTGACAAACAACTTTCAACTGGTGTCACATTCTGGCCCAACGTACAAACAACTGGATGCAGTCTTTACGGAAATGCCAAGAGAATTCATATTCCTTTGCTGACTCTTTCAGAATTCTGGTCTACTCATCAGTATTCCCATTTTCCTTGTTATTTTTCCTGTTCCATGAATTGATTTTCAAAGCCATGGTTTTGCTTTAAGATTAGGTTTAGTGGTGTTTATTTTTGAATGCTATTAATAAATATTCAATTTCAGAAGTTACATTGCTGGTAACTTGCTCTCTCAAAGCAGTATATAGTTTCACAAGGTCACTGCTTTACTGGGTCTTAATGTCAGGCGGTGACAGTAACCGTTCATCTTTTGTATTATTATTGCACTCCTATTTGACTGTCTTCTTAGATTTGAGTGTTTAGGTTTGTTTTTTTCATAAATGGCTAAATGTTTAAAAAAAAAAGCTTTTTTTTGTTTGTTTCTATTTAGTTATACATACATACATATGTATATGTGTACATCTATACGTGTGTGTGTATGTTTGCATATACATATATATATATATATATATATATATATATATATATATATATATATATATATATATATATATATGAATGCGCACACACCCATAAATCAGAAATCGTTTTATTGGCCAAATGTACTGAGTACACAGGAATTTGACCTGGTATCCCAGCACAACAGGACAGTTTGAATAATACTTTTGAAAAATTGGCAAGGAAAAGTTTATGGAAAAAATATTATATGTTTGTGTGTTTTTAGGTGCCAGTGTCTTTAAGAGACTGTAGAAGTGGCTGGAGGGTAGGGTTGTCAAAAGTATCGATACTAAAAAACGTATCGATACAAAAAAATGTATCGATACGATACTCGTATTCAAAAGTATCGATACCAACCCCCGTGTGCGTGCGCGACGCTGACCTGTCGACGCTGCGCCCCTTCTCTCTGATTTATTCATTTATTTACGTTGTTTATGATCGATAACGTGACGTTAGCCTTGAATTGGTAGCTGCGGCTAATGGCTAGTAATAACATGGCAACATTAATCAAGTTTGTCTGGCTGCATACTGCAGGAAGCCAAGGATGGATATCCAACTCCGCCCACATCCAAGTCGGCCATTTTGATTAGGTCACCAATAAGAAAATCCCAGGCAAGAAAATAGTAATTGCTTCATGGCAATATAGACATTAATTTAAAAATACTGAAATCTTGCAAACACTGAATTCAACTCTACACATAATATTATGTTAAAATATTGAATGTGAAATACGTCCAAACAACTTTAACCAAAAAATATTTATTCCTCACAATTATGAAGGATGGAGGGTCAGGGTTAGGGTTACGGTCATTAATGCTTGCCACTGGCCACGATAACATCAGTAATAGGTCAGTTTGAAACGAAAGACACTAACCCGACAAAATTCAGTAAAATTTTGGGGTCTTTGTTTTTATCCTTATGGTATCGAAATGGCAGTGAGGATCGAATATTTTCCTGAGGATACAGGGTACCACACATTGATGGAGGAGGTGAGGACACTCTCAATGATAGCTCTGTAGAACTGGGAGCAAACCTTGGGGAAGATGTTCATCTTGCGGAGCAGTCTGAGGAAGAACATTCTCTGATGCGCCCTGTTGATGACCTTGGATGAGTGCGTCTCCCACCTGAGATATCACCACCTGATGGTAGTGCCCAGGAAGTTCACATACTTCACCACCTGAACTGCGAAACTGTTGATGAGGAGTTGGGGGTGAAGGGGAAGTTGTCTGCGGAAGTTTATGACCATCTCCACTGTCTTGACGTTGAGCTCCAGGTTGTAGCGTGCAAACCATGCCGCCAGCTGTGACATCGTGCCGTCTCATCGTTGTCCTTGATGAGGCCCAGGACCGTGTGTGTGTGTGTGTGTGTGTGTGTGTGTGTGTGTGTGTGTGTGTGTGTGTGTGTGTGTGTGTGTGTGTGTGTGTGTGTGTGTGTGTGTGTGTGTG